TATATCATCTTTCTGCACAAATTACAGTTTTTATTTTGGCTGTATAAGAGCAGGCAGCAGTGGGGGTGCCACATAAATTTATTGGCACGCCAGTTCCCCAACATTCATTGAACAGCCCCGGACGCCATTTTAGAAAAAGCTGTTCACACTGCTTACTCATTCCGCCGTCCCCCCCCCCCCTCCATCTTCAGTGACTTCTATCACACATGAGGCTGTCATTGCACCTGCATACCTCGACTACCTCTGGGGCTGAGGTGGCGTGCTCAAAACGACTCGCCTGCACCATTTCTCACCCCCCCACCACCCCCCATCTTTGCTGTTGCAAAGCTGCCAGTCTCTTCCCCCACATTAAAAATAACATATCATAATACACACCATACCAAGGTATTGTATAAATAACAGTGTACAGGCAGCTGATCCGTGCGTGAGGCTGCATGGGTTATCACCCTCTCAGATATTTAATATGCAGGTTTGGCTACACTAATCTGGATTAAAACCAGATTTAATATTGACGTTTAGCAGGTTTGTTCCGACATGTCGGCGAATTGAAATATAAAGATGCGACGTTCAGGTACAATCGTATTTTGGAGCTGTTTGGCTTTATAATAATGTGCACACAGAGCTATTTCCTTGACAGCCGAGAGAAAAAGAGGGGAGGCGAAAGCGCGCAGACTGACCATAATAACCAACACACACATACACATTTACTTTTTTTTTTTCAGTCCAGGGAAGACAACAAAGACCCCCCAAAAAAGCCGACAGAATGCGGCAGCAGCTTTGGGAAAACCAAAACAACCGAGCAGAAAATGGATGCGTAAAGCCTCAGATTTCGTGGAGAATCACATCAGGCTGCAGGCTGTCTGCAAGCAGCTGCGGGCAAGCGACGCGGGTTTTCATGTGGCAACACACGCAAGACCATTTTTCTGCGCACAAAGTAGAAACACAAGCAGCGTTTTGAGGAGGAAGCCCCCCCGGCGCCACACGGCGCTCAGAAACAAAAACCCCATGTCCGAATCTTGATGCAAACCCAGCTCGTTCCTCCTCAAAATACACATCTCACTTTCTGCTACACAAGCATGATGCCAGTGAACCACAGCGTGCAGAAAGGACCGAGCGGAAGTCAAGTGGAAACACCAGACGCGGACCTGGTAAAAGATGCAGCTCTCCTGATCTCCTGTTTGTTTACACTGGCTGCGTGCTGTTAAACCGCAGGGAAAGCTGTGTTTTCCTTGTAGTGATCGGGACCAAAGGTGGCCCAGGCTGGAAACAAACCAGCATCAAAAGGGAACAAATCAGCCGATAAGTTAAATGACCGAGGCGAAAAGGCACAAGCGTGTAACCGAGTCTCCACACACATTTCAACAAAATGCGCCTTATATGCTACAGTTGCCAAATGGGACTTTGCAATGGAGGGGAACCTCCTGCTTCAGCCCGACTACACTAAAATGTGACACAGAGGAGATATGATGTCCGTGCAAACACACACACATACACACATAAACACAGACACACACACACACACACACACACACACACACACACACACACACACACACATCTCCTAATGTTGCTCCTTTTTACTCACCGCTTGAAGTGCTCGATAATCTTCTCCTCTCGCACACTTTCGGGCAAATTTCCCACCCATAAATGTCTGGTTTCCCGGACCATACTGTGCGCTCCTGCTGCCCGATCATACAGATGAGTTTGTGCGGTGTCCGTTTCCCCGCGTGCAAAAATACAAAAGGTCCGCGAGGCAAACGCGCGAGGAGGCGGAGAGGAAGGAGTACCTGACGCGAATCATTAGACTGCTCGTTGTGACCCAATGTAAACCAGGTTCGGATCTCCCCCCACCTCCCTCTCTCTCTCCCTCTCTCTCTCTCCTCAAGCTGTTTGATACTGCGCGAGCCTGCAACTCCTCGTGAACGCGCCTCTCTCCTCCTGTAGCGCCCCCCCTCCTCCTCCTCCTCCACACCCCGGTCCGTTCCCGTGACTAGGCGAGTCCCTGGCACCGTGCGACCTTTTTGGGTGTTGAAAGAAAAGCGTGTGGCTTCCTAAACAGATGCAGCAACTTCGATTGTAATGAGAGGCACACACCGCGCAGGCGTGGCTTTGTGTGTGTGTGTGTGTGTGTGTGTGTGTGTGTGTGTGTGTGTGTGTGTGTGTGTGTGTGTGTGTGTGTGTGTGTGT